CCCCGCACGAGGCCGGGCCGGGAGCGGGCGGGGCGCTCCTGGCGGGCGAGGCTGGTGCCTCCCCTGCAGGGGGGCCCGCGGCTGGCGGCGTTGCAGAGGCGCTCGACGGCTCAGCGCAAGGGCCGCAGCCCGCAGGCCAGGAGCCTTTGGACGCCCCGCGTGCATCAGAAGCAGAGGGTGGCGACCTGGCGCCACGGCAGCAGCAGCAGCAACACGACCAGCAGCAGCGGCAGGAGCGCGAGCAGCTGCACAAAGAGCCGGAGCGGCAGCGACAGCAGCCGCTGGATGGCCGCAGTGCTGGTGCGCGCCTGTGCGCGCCCGACGTAGCGCAGCACCCCCAAAGCCAGCCGGCAGCGGCTGAAGTCGGCAACGCCGGTCCGGTTGTGCTCGGCGACTGCGGGCGGCGGCCGTCGCCGGCGCACCCGCGCGCCCCCGCCGGCTGCCTCCCCGCGGGCCGCCTGTGCGAGCTGCTGGTCGGCAGCCCCGAGCGCGCGGCGCGGCTGGCGGCGGCGCTCGACCTCACAGAGGACTGCCAGGCGCAAGCCCGCAGCGCCGCAGTGATGCTCAGGTGGGCGCCTTGCACCTTGGACTTATTCGCGGCTCTTCAACGGAACCGGCCTGCCGTGTGATTTGGAGCGCCGCCGCGTGACCCGCGTTGCGACCCGTTGCAAGGGCCGCGTCGCTTGCATTGGCTCGGGCTTCTGCTTTGCCCGGCAAACGTGCCGCCACCAATCGCTGACATCATCGTGACGTCATTCCCTCAGGGACCTGCTGTGCCTCGCATGCGGCAACCCCGGCGTCTACGCGGTGGCCTCGCAGCAGCTGTCGCTTGAGGCGGCGGCCGCGGAGGGTGGCGGCTCGGGGACCGCTGAGCAGCCACCCCTGGGGTCGGCGTCCACGGCGGAGCCTGGCGCTGAGCTGCGACAGCCGCGCGTGGGGCCCGGAGGCTTCACGCGCCATGTGGCGGCGGGCGGGGTTGGCGGCGGCGGCGGCGCGGAGCGCGGCAGGTTTGCGAGCGGCGCGGGGCCGCCCGCGGCGCTCGAGCGCAGCTGGTCAGATTCCGGGGAGTCTCTGAGCCTCAACTGCTATGAGGGTGGCAAGAGGCGCGCGCAGCAGCAGCAACAGCGGCAGCAACAGCAGCAGCAGCAACAGCAGGAGCAGCCGCTGCTGCATCAACACGGGGAACGGGAACAGGCGCAACAGCAGCAGCAACAGCAGCAACAGCAGCAACAGCAGGGCGCGGGCGACGCCGCAGACCCAGCCGCGGCGGCGGCCGAGGCGGCGGGCTCGCCCTCCAGCTGGGGGCTCACAAGCCCGACAATGCGCAAGCACTCTGGAGGGTCGAGCAGCCGCAAGCACTCGTCGGGCGCGTCGGGCGCCGCGCTGATGGTGGCGACGGCGGCGGCAAACAGGGCCGGCGGCGCGCGCCGCGCGCTGCCCGGCCTTGCGCGGGGCGGCGTCGAGGCACTGGCGCGCGGGGCAGGGGAGGGGGACGCCGGCGCGGGGGCGCTCGAGGGGTGGCAGCACTGGCAGCGCGCGCAGCAGCAGGAGGGGCAGCTTCCCCCGCCGCCGGTCGGGCTGCTGCTTGGGTCGCCCTCAGAGCCCGGGGAGGGGTCGCAGCGGCGGCCGGGCCAGGAGCAGGATCAGGAGCGGCGGCAGCAGCAGCAGCAGCAGCAGCAGCAGCAGCAGCAGCAGCAGCAGCAGCAACAGCGGCTTGTTGTGGCCCGCAGCAGCGAGGACGCCGGCGGGAGCGTCCCGCCCAAGGGCGGCCCCGGCGGCATCACCAAGCTGCTTCGGGGGAACTTCCTGTTTGCAGGTGGGCCCCACCTAAACACATAATGTTTTGATGCGCTGGGAGGGTAGCAGCCGCCCTCACCGCGCACGTTGCGTGTTCCACACTCAGTGCAACTTTGCGCATATCCAAGCTTACAAACACTGGCAATGTGGGCATGCGAGCGTGCCCTTGGAGCACGCTCTTTCGCTTCATTTCTCGCTCTCGCTCTCGCTCTCTCTCCCCTGCCTTCCTCTTGGCCCTTCCCCTGCTCAGGTGCGCGCGCTGTGACGCGCACTTGCACCCCGTCCCCCCGACGCGACTGTCAAGTCCACCCTGCTGCGCCACTCCACCTTCCCCTGCCCACAGGCAACCCAAACCCAGCGGCGGAAGCCCACAGCGAGGACGCACAATCTGCAGCCATTACGCGCGGCCTGGGATCGTCGCTGCAGCTGGCGACAAGCGGCGAGGCAGATGCGGCCGAGCATCTGCTTGCAGACGAGCGGCATCTGCTTGCAGACGAGCAGCATCTGCTTGCAGATGAGCAGCAGCTGCTGGACGGGGCCGGCGGCGCAGACCAGGCGCCGCCGCCGCCGCCGCAGCAGCAGCAGCAGCGGCAGCAGCAGCAGTGTGGCGACGGGGAGCGCCCGCACCGGCTGGCAGCCGCGGCGCCCGCGCTGCAGGACGGGGCGCCGGCGGAGCCACCGCCGCTACCACAGCAGCAGCAGCAGCAGCAGCAGCAGCAATTGAAGCAGCACTTGGCCTGGGCCTCGCCCGATTTCACCGACCTCCAGAGGCAGGCCTTGAAGGAGGCCTGGATGTCGCCCCCGGGCCTGCAGCAGCTGCTGCAGGCCTACGACCCCTCGCCCCCGCACACCGGCCTGCTGGGCGGCGACCACCACCACCACAACCACCCCTTGCTCGCGCTCGGCGGCCTCGGCTCGCCGGGCGCGGGCTCGGCCGGCAGCGCGGCGGCCGCGACGGCGCCGGCGCCGGTCGGCGTGGGCAGGGTGCTGGGCGGCTGCGGCAGCCCGCGAGGGTCAGGGTTCTGCATCGGCAGCCTGCGCGGCTTGTCGGCGGGGTCGCCGCTGCTGCAGCTGCAGCTGCAGGCAGCTCTGGCTACGCCCGGCGGGGCGCCGCTGTCCGCCGGCCGCGGGGACTTCGGGCTCCGCTGGCTGTCACCGGCGCTGGCGAGTGCGGCGAGGGCCAGCGGCGGGCGCGGCGCGGGGGCCGGGAGGGCGGAGGAGGGCGGCTCGGCGGGGGCCATCCGTGAGGGCGGCTGGCGGGCGGCGGCTGCTGGGCAGAGGGGGCAAGCAGGGACGGCTTTCAGCCCGATCGCGGCCGGTGGGGCGATCGCGGCGCGGATGCAGGCGGGCGGCGCGGGCAGCGCCGACGGCCCGCCAAGCATCGCCGCCCCCTCCCCTACCTTCGCGGCTGCAGCCGCCCTGGGCGGCCCCGGCGCCCCACAGCCCGCCAAGCGGCGGCGCTCCAGCGGCACGGGTGAAGGCGAGCGCCACGGCGCGGCGGCTGCTTCGCCGCAGCCGCGCGCTGCGCCGCAGCTGCACGCACCGCGCATCGCTCGCCTGGGTCCGGGATCGTTGGTCATGCCCGGCGCCGCGCGGGCGCCAGCAACCGCGCCCACCGACGCCAGCTGGGCGAGCGCAGGGGGCGCCGCGGCCGCACCTGCCTCGGGCGCCCCCGCGTCCGGGGCTGGGGCAGCGTCGGCCGCCGCCCCGAGCGCGGCGGCTGGCGGCGACAGCAGCAGCAGTTGGACGGGCACCAGCTGTGAGGATGACTGCGAGGTGACGGGGCGGCGCCTGGGCCGACGCCGCAAGCCGACGACCAACAGCAGAGGCGGCGGGTCAGCGTCACATGGATGCGCTAGCACGGGCGGCGCCGCCGCCGCCTCCCCATATGCGAGGGCTGCGGCGGCCTGCCGCGAGGCCGCGCCCTCGCCGCGGCAGCGGAGGGCGGCGCCGCAGCAGCGCAAGCGGCTGCGCGACCAGCATGCGCCGGGTGGGGGCGCGGGCGCCGCCGGGCCGGGCTGGGCGCCGGGGGCGGAGCGGCCCGAGCCGGCGGGGCCTTGGGGGGCAAAGCGCCACCG